ACCCTGCGCACACACAGACAGACACATACACATACACAGGCAACCTTTCATCAATATGCGTTTTCCGCATTGCATAGCTGCAAAAAAACGTGTAAAAAGAAATCTGGAAGCGCGAGATACCCGGGATGGATTGTTGTTGGTAACATAGATACAGTGATCAATGCACTGATGAGGTGTCACGTAGAATAGTTCGACAATTGGTTGGGAGTTGTCGATGGAACGCCGTACAGTTCGTTGGAAACATCGGGCATCTGCCAGAAATTATGGTCAGTTCCGCGCTTATAAAGTAGCTATGATTGGTCCTAGCAGAAAGATTCAGTAATAAAAATAAGAAAATAAGAGTAGCTAATTGTACAAGGCCTCTCAATTGTGAGTGTGAAAAGCATTCAAGTCCATGTGCTTGCATAAAACTCGATAAATTTCGCAATGCGTTTCGGAAAGCAGGAGCACTAGCGAGTGCTTCAGTTTGAAAGCATTTTTACCAAAGACACTCAGTGAGACTGCCCGCAGTGTTTTTTTCTCTACTCAGAAATCAAGCTGAAAGCAATTTGAATTCTAAAATACTAAGCATGCTCAGTATTGATAATAAAGTAGCCGGCCATGACAGCCCTCCCAGTGACGATTTTGAGCAACTCAACATTCAGTCGACATGCTTTGTTTTCTAAAGTGAATTAAATGAGAAAAATCGGACTGAAAAATGTACACTGCGATTTAGTCCTGGAACTGTGAACGAAAACGAGGATGATTAGAGCGACAGGCCGAAAATGCGGCATACAAATGGAAAAGAGAGGTAGTTTTTTGAGTCAGTAACTGGATTCCGGACAGCAGTGTCCTGCGCAGCCGAAGGTAAGCGCTCACCTTGAGAAGAGCTATTAGGTTCGAATAATTAATGGGTCACTGACACCACCCTTCCTCTCTCTCTCCTTCACCTCCACTTACCTCCAGTATTCATTGTTTACACCTGCTGAGTGATCCTTTTAGAGAAGGAATATCTCCATGCGTACCGATCCTGCCTTCCTCGCAACTAATGGTCAAAGCCACGTACCGTCTGCTCCCCAGTAACTCACATAACAAGACTAGTTATGA